GAATAAAATCAGCCGATATTCGTCCAGGAAGCTGTTCCAGAGCGTTCCAAAGTAGAACTTGACGAGCTCTATCGATTGGTAATCTTGGATTTTCTATATCTCATACCATTTGTGAAAAAATCCCAAAATACTCATTTTTCACTATGTGAATCTTGCCACATGGTTCGTAATATCAGCCGATATTCGTACAGGAAAGTGTTCCAGGTGGGTGTGAGTGTGAGTGATCGTCTTCCCTTCAGTCACACCCACACCCTCATCCACATCCACACCCTCACCCACGTCTACACTCACACCATCACAACGTTTTATCAGCTACTATTTGTGCAGAAAAATACTTCTGAGCGATTCCTTATTACCAGGCTGAGCCAAATCAAATTTGTTAGTGGAAGTTATGGGACGAATGACCTTACTCATACAAAGTGGCAGAATCTACCTCATGAGTTAGAATCTATTAAGTCCATATATATTGATTGTACTGAGACGGTAACAGCTACGAAAAATATAATCATACCATTATATAGAGCTCATCAAACTGTACTTGACGTGAGTCTAAAAATTTAGAATACATTTCTAGAGGAAACTTGTCGACTTTTATCGGAAAAGTTCAAAAGATGCAATAGACAAAAGCCAACATTATTTTTTCTCCTTACACATGCTTTGAGTTATGGCAACACCAAGATTACCAATTTATAGAGCTCGTCAGGTTACATTTGGAAACGTGTTGGAACAGCTCGAAGAACTTCCTAGACGAATATCGGCTGATTTTACTAACCATGTAGCAAGATTCACATAGTAAAAAATGAGTCTTTTGGGATTTTTTCACGAACGGTATGAGATATGGAAAATCCAAGGTTACCAATCGATAGAGCTCATCAAGTTTTACTTTGCAACTCGCTGGAACATCTAAAAGAACTTCCTAGACGAATATCGGCTGGTTTTACTCGAATATGAGGCTAACTTCACGTGGGTCGTTGTTGACTATCTTGATCATCTTCGAAGATAATATAACGTAAATCACCTAATTTTTCTTTCGCTTTTTCTGCTATAATAGTTCGAATAAATTGTGCATATCTTTCACCAGTAACGTACAAGTTTTTCCGATGATCACTACCTTTTGATCTGATGAGTTCTAACCACTCATCAACAAAAAATTGAAGATTGTTTAGGAAATAATCCTTGATAGGAAATACCTTCCCATAGCATGACACTTTTCTGAAACTTTTCTTTTAGTTTCGTTTTCAATTCGTATGGAATATCAGATTTGGATTCAGCATAAATATCTTCGTTGTGTTAATTGGATTGAAGATTTAAAGTAAATATACCACTAAAGTCTGTATTCAAAACATAAGCCCAGTCATAAAGCTTGTTTCCTTTCTTAAAACCATTTTTTTTTCGTAATCGTTTTGCAATGATAACACATGGAAGTTTTTGATCGGTTGTTAATTTTTGTACTATTTCTCTTTTCCACCATTTTAATTTTAATGATTGTTTAGTTCGCCAAATTGAACCTTTCGATGTTTTAAAACCTTGTTGTTGAAGTTTTGTATTAACACTTCTGATGGATGCGTTTTTGGCTATTCGAAGATTGTTTTTCATAGCTTGAATATTTTCAAGTGTTGTTGTTGTTGTTGTACGTGGTGCACCCGATCTTGGCAAATCATTCACCTGATTTCCATTTAGAATTTTCCCAACTTTGACGTTGAAAGCACATTTCGTTGTATAAGATGGCGAATTTTCAGATTGAATAAGAAAATTTTTAATTTCTTTAGATTTTCATGATGGATGTATTTGTTTTAAATGTAATACAAATGAACGAAATTCTTTTGTATCTGTCGCTGATTGTTCACGTGACATTCTGTGTTGATTCAGTTGTAACAGACTAATGTTATTACTGATAAACTGCGTTCATCGACACGTGTAGAAGCAAAAATATATCGATAAAAAAAAGATTTTCTACTCTGGCACACGATAGTTAAAACACCCTGGAAATAACAACTTTAGCTGTCGGAGAACTTTGAAAAAATACATCGCAGTGTTTTTTGCAGTTTCTCATCAATAGGTTTAGATATAGATTCGAAACTTTGTGACTATGTAGTATTATGTATGCTCAACAACCCATCAAAGTTTCAAAAAGATTCGCTTTTAATAAATGCGAAAATGAAAAACTTTTTAAATCATCTCAGCACTTCTGCGATAACTCTTATAGAGTTTTTATATACCGCATTATTTATTTGTTCTTTTTTGCATTCCCTATCATTGACTGTGGAACGAATGAAAACGGAAAATAACTAATCGTTTCGTTTGGTATTACCACCTGGTTCTCTCCGCTGTCAATCAAGTAAAGAAGCAAGAAAGAAAAAACAGATAATATATGTGTGGTGTGCATATAAATAATATATACAAATATATATATATATGTGTGTGTGTGTGTATTGTATTGTATAGTCTGATCAACCCAACATTGCCCATGAAATGTCTGTGTAAACATTTATAAATTAAAAAGAAAAAAATTACGAAAAATTTATCAAATGAATTACAGTTCTCAGGCAACATTCGATACAAGTTATTTACTCTTGTTTGCTTCAAACCATAGCACAATCATTTCTTAGCCACAACAGGCAATACTAGAATTCAAACCTGTAAAAAGCTGTCTGTTCTCTTAAAAAACCAGAACTGATACTATATATTCTAAGGATTTTATCATACGATCTTTCTTCTCTTTTTGATTTGTCCTCAATGTAGTAAAAATGTTTATGTCTATGCATACTAGTTGAAAACTTAGCAGAAGAAGACATTTCCAAAAAGGCTTTTTTTGTTACAGTTTCAGTGGTATATCATTGTCTTATGACAACAGATACATTTTCTCAAACCTCTGATCTACCATTTCTGTAACTGTCAATGTGTAATATAGACACTTAAAGAATCATATCTTTTCTTCAAATATCAACAGAGATCAAGGATACACAAGCTTCGTTGTAAGCAACCTTTACAATATTATGAGTAGCATGTTTTAGGTTAAAGGCAGAAGATAAATTTTTTATAGGTTTCTATTTGAGCAATTTTCGTAGCTCGTCATGAAAGCTATTGATGCTCAAAAAATCGTTTCAATTCTGAATCTAATAGTAGAGATTATAGATAACCAACAATAACACGATGTAGTCTTCAGAGGATCCTAGGTAGCAGGTATACTAAACTTTTCATTATCAAATTTTCATTTTAATTCGAGACCATTCATATATTCTTTTTGTTCAGAATTTTAATTCTTTATCAAATAATATATAAATTATCTATCATACTATATGAATATTATTCCAAAAATGAGCGAATCTCATCTGTCATTTTATCTTTCTAAAGGTCATAAGGAAGACTATTTGGTCGAGTACCAAAATAAAAGAAAAGTATCATTGATCAAAGTGAAATTTATAGAAATGACTACTAATTTTGCACTCTATCAGTACTTCAAGTTTCACATCAAATGATATTTGTTTTCTAATTGAGCTAAAATAGTCTCAAATGGTTTTCACTCTTTTATCTTTGAGCACCTCTCATATATTTGTATTAAAATATATAGTCGTACTCTTTAGTAAAAAACCTTGAATGAGCTTTTGGTCTTTTTCCAGAATGTTTTTACGTTAAAAGACGCAGTTTTTCACGGGCTCTCTTCTATTGCAATGAGATTTCTGGGAGTCTTCAATTTTAGATCTTACTAGTAGAAAAACTTGAAAAAAAATGCAAAAATCCTTTACTTTTTCATGAAAAAGAAACATTTTATTGGCTCTGTTGTTTCACTAAATGATGTATACGAAGGGACGAAAAAAACATAATCTGACAGAAGAAAAGCTCTCCTTGCTTTTTGGCAAAAGTCATCGCTATGTTAATGCTCGAAATAATGAAGTCTTTTTGTAGTATATTAAAAAGTACGAGAAAATAAATATGCGTCTTCTACCTCTTTAAAACCTATCACCATTGCGTACCTCGTAATTTGACAAGAGATTGTCAGATCAGCCTGATACTTCGGATATAGTAGTATCTCTATGAGGCCTTTGTTTTCAGATAATTAGATCCAAAATCAAAAAATGTTCTCTGGCCATATTGTCTAATATATTGACGAACTCCCTTTAAAAAAATGTGTTTTTATCTTGATGATATACTGAAAAAAGGCTCGAACTACTTTTTTTCCAGGCTTATCTATAAATCTACTACGAAATAATAGTATTGACTTTCGTTTTTGATTGATTTTAAACATTAGTTTAATATTGTATTGGATTTTTTTTGATATACAATCTGAAATTTATAACAATAAAGCCAAACTCATTCTCTATATTTCATAAGTCATGATAAACATTTTTATCTATTACTAAAATGAGAAAAGAGATAAATATAATAGGACATCACGGATTGTGATAACACACGGATTAAGAATTTCTCTGTCGAAACAAACGACTCTAAATTACTGTTAGGTTATATAGAAACCAAAAATGTTCAGGTACTCTAGAAAATACATTTCAATCAACATATTCTTCTTTGAGAACAAAGTTAAAGAATGAAAACTGTTTCTTATCATTATTATTTTATGCTTTAACAAAGATCAGTGACGCGTCAGTAAAGTCAACAATACCTATTCAGTCAGTTAGTCATCATAGTGTTATCGTTTAATCCTGTTGACAGTTGGGTTATAATGTATGCTGTTATTTTCTTTTATATTTGCTTTCATATAGGTGTATGCAAATGTCTATATACAACTGTGTTTCGAAAAGAAATCCTTCTGTTGACACAATAACATCCCATTGTTTTTTGTAGATGACAATATTATCTAAATAGTGTCTCGCCATCGGTTCTTTTTTTCTCTATGAACGTCAATGATAACAGGTGTTGTTATCTTCCATGAACAGTTTTTGTTTATTTGAAAAATAAGAAAAAAAAGGTTAAAAAATTATTCATATATATCTACATAAGTTTTTTTTATCTTAATTTTTTTACAGAAAAAAATAAGAATTATTATGAGTTTATTTCGTAATATATCAATAGATCTACCAATTGAAGTATGTCATTTAACAAAACTTTTTAATCAAGATACAAATCCATTGAAAGTTAATTTAAGTATTGAAGTTTATCAAGATAAAAATGGTGAAATATTAACATTACCGTTGGTTCGTTCAGTTGAACAACAGATGGTTAAAGATTTAACTTTGAAAAAAAATTATTGAAAAGGAACTGGACTTGATACTTTTTGTATAGCATGTCTTAAACTTATACTTAGTGAACAATCATTGGCTATTATAGAAAATCGTGCTTGTTCAATACAATCATTAAGTGGTACAAGTACACTTCGTATTGGTTTAGATTTTCTTTATCGAAATGGTTTTCGTATAACATATATTTCAATACCTACATGAGATAAGAATTAAATATTATACAAGGAGAGAAAATTCGAATGATCACTTTTGTTTTTAGATAATCATGAATCTATTTTGCAAACAGTTGGATTTGAAATAAGAAAATATAGATATTGGAATAAAGAAAAATTTACTCTTGATATTGATAGTTTTATTGCTGATCTTGAATCTGCATCATAAAAATCTGTTATTATACTTCATGTTTGTTCTGTAAATAGTTATAAAAAAAAGATAAAAGTTGTTTAATAATTACTTTTTTTTTCTATTAGCATAATCCTACAGGTTGTGATCCTACACATCAACAATAGAAACGTATATCAGAAACATGTAAATCTCGTCAATTAATTTCATTTTTTGATATAGCTTATCAAGATTTTTCAAGTGGTGATCTTGATACAGACGCATGGGCAGTACGTTATTTTGTACATGAAGCTAAACATGAATTATTTATTGCTCAATCATTTGCTAAAAATTTCGGTTTATATAATGAACATATTGGCCATTAGTTGATGTGTTTAAATCATGTGATATAATGCCTAAATTTCGTACACAAATGGTAGCAATTACTCGAAGAAACTATTCAAATCCACCAGCATATGGTGCGTATATTATCGGTACAATTTTAAATAATCCAACTTTATATAATGAATGGAAAACTAATATACGAACTATCTATGAATGTATACATTCAATGAGACAATTATTTTATAGTAAATTAAAACAATTAGGCACACCAAGTACATGAAAGCATATTATTCAGCAAACAGGTGCGTTTATTTTATAAATGAAATTTTAAATGAACTTTTTCCTTGCTTTTATAAGGTATGTTTGCTTATACTGGTCTGAATCCAGGTCAGTATCAAACATTAATTCAGCAACATCACGTATATATAATGAGTAATGGTAGCATACATGTTTGTGGAATAATATCAAAAAACATCGATGAAATTGCGCAAAAATTTTATGATGTTATTACTAATTATGTCGATGATCCTAAACTTTGATGTTATTTTTGAAATTGATTTTAACCTTTAGATATCTTACTCTTTATTTTATTTTAATCTTCGTATTTCTTTTTTATTTTGTAGATTTATCTTTTGTTTGACATTTTCTTCATGATTTTTATCATGTCTTTGGTGTTCTTTATTTTTTTTTAAAACAAAACATAATGTGTATATGCATGCACATGTTATTTATAGAGACTTTACTTAATTCTAATTTCCTAGGGATTCAAAATAACAAAAATAGCTCTCAATACATCTGTATCCTTCTATCTCGTATGTTGTCAATAAAATCCGTCTTCTATTAGATTCTAATAGTTGCATGATGTACATAGATATATCATTGTCATTGCTCGTCTTTCTTCTTTTTTTTTTTTACCCCTTGTCATGTTTATGATGCTTTATCGACACGAACAACCAGTAAAGAACGGAACACAAAGGTTTAATCTCATGGGTGTGGTGTACATTTAGTGTTAGAGACAGATGAGAGATCAATTTTTGACGACTGACTACCACCGTATAAATTTTTTTATCCCTTCTCTAACAACGGTGACGGTCGTATGCGTTGTTATGATGATGGCCGTCGTCGTCGTCGTAGTTGTAGTAGAAGTATAATAGCACTAGTGCAACTTTTTTTCTCTCTCTTTCTCTATTTCTTTCTCGTGTCTTTTCAACTGATTACACATACACACATACGCAACTGGATCCTTCGTATTCATTTTCAATGTCCCTCGCGTTCATTATAACAAAGAGAAGCAGAGAGAAAGGGAGAAAAGTAATCATAACAAAGCAAAAAAAAACAAAACTCTACTGAACAGTTTAAGGTAAGTAATGCTCGCTTGCTTGCATCATTGAACTTTTATAGAGTAAATTTTCTCTTTACTTGCCGGTTTTTTTTTTATGCATACAGTTCTTTGTTTTAGGTTATAAGTGCATTTTTCTTTCGACACGATTGACTATCGGTCAGAAAAACGACTGATATATTAGTCTTCATTAATAACTTTTCAGACATTCTACCGTCTACGACTTGCGATAAATAGGCGTAACAGCTGGTCTTGGTGTTTTTTTGACCGTCTTCTTCTTTTTCTTTTTCTTCTTATTCATATAATATTATTCACAAGTATTGAGAATACATAAACTATAGTTTAATCCTAAGAGAAATGAGACACATTCACAAAAGAAGATATTATTGTAATGTATTAGGTTAAATCATTACTGTGAGTATCGACTACGTGAAAAGTGATGATCAAATTATGTAAACATTTTGTGACGTCATTATCAAAAGAGAAAGTATACATATGTGTATTTCTAGGTAAGCATATCTATTCATGGCCTCAAAATTCGACATATAGACACACACACTTATATATATATATATATATGTGTTGTACATCTTTTCGAGGACGAAAAGGACGAAAATGCGCAGAAAGTAATAAATAAAATACATAAGTAGAAGAACAAATAATATAAAAGGAAATAAATGTGAGAAGTATGTTCAGGGTCATTTATTTTATTTCGTCTTTAAATAATCTAGAAAATAACAACACGTTGATGTAAGCCTTACAGTATTATTAGGCAATTCGAATATTGATTCAATTTGTTCATATATATAGTTCAATGTTTTTGTTGTGGTTTGTGTGAATAACAGAGAAAATGTACATAGGATAAAGTAAGTAAAGACACGGAGAGGTCGACTATTTTCGATTTCATTATTGTCTATGCATGCGTATGTGAACAGAAAGAGAAAGAAGAAGAGAGAAACATGTTACACCGTCAGCATTACCACCGCAAGCTAGCTGAATTGGACTATGTCAATAGTAATATTAACAACAGAAGCAATAGCAATAGCATTACCAGTGATTTTATATGTTCTTCACATATTATTCTTCAATTGAGTCAAGTATTCGTGGGAAGGATAAAATATTATCAGGTTCTAAGAAAAACAAAAAAAAATGAATGTGATGGCATTCCATAAGAAATGTAAATTTTACTAATAACCAATTCATATTCTTGTAGATTTCATCTTTTTTTCTTTAATTCTACTAAAATTTATTTGAATCTCTTCAATATCTGATGATGCCAATAGTAGAACAAAGTTCCGTTCATCATCACCATGGTCATGGTCATCAAACATTTTATCACGAACAACATATACCAGAAGAAACTAACAAGATACAATTAACACTTATCTTACCAAATGGTGTTCCATCCATAATTAATGTTGATGCAAAGTAATTAATTATATTTTTCTATTAATATATTTTTATCTATATATCATTTGTTTCTATTAGTACTCCAATGATGGATTTACTTGTACAAGCAGCATCATTAAATAAACTTAATCCAAGTAGTTATTCACTTGTTGTACTTGATTCGAATCAACATGTTATACATTTCAAAGCTAATCAAACAGTTGGACAAATTGGTATGTATTTGAAAATATTTTCCAAATAAAATTAATTCAAATAAAAATATTTAAAAACAACGAAAAAAAACGCAGATCTTTCATATTTTTTCAGTTAAAAATTGTCATTTACCACAACGAAACGGTAATTTATACATTGCTGTTCTTTTTCTTTGTCTTATGTTTGTTGCTTCATACATTAATTTTATTTATTTGATTATTGAATAAAACAATAATGAAAACTTTTTCTTCTTAAGGTTCATCAACTATTAGTCTCCAACCAAAAGAATCAACACATTCAAATTCATCATCAAAACCTAAAACTCAACCATTTGAAGTATGTTAATAAATATTTTTCTATTAAATTTTCTCTACCAAAAAAATCAAATTTAGATTACAGTTCGTCTACAAGTTAATTTACCAGATGCACAAAAAATTTTATTACGTATTGATCCAACATTACCATTATATGATATAAAAGAACAAATATGTAAACAAAAAAAATATATAAATTCAAATCAATATACATTACGTTTACCAAATAAACTTGATCAACCATTATTACTTGGTTTATCATTAGCTGAATATAAAACAAATGAACTTACATTAATATATAATAAACAACTGGAATTTGAACAAGAACACTATACAAATCAAATTCAAACATTTGATCGTCTTTATCGTATACGTTCAGAAAGTCAACCACCAAAAGAAAATTTTCTACATATACAACAACAAAATGAACAAAAATTAATAAATACAAAACAAATTAATCGATCAAATACAAATCGTTCATCAACATTACGTCCATCACATACAACATTACATGCTTATTGGAATGATCCTAACTTTGATACACAATCACAATTATCAACTAGTTCATCAATAGCAAAGAAACGTCGTGCACCACGACCACCTGGTTCTATAAATTCTAAAAGACCTGATTCACAAATTGTTTATATTCAAGAACAAGAACAAACATCAAATAATATTAATTTACATTCATTACCATTACATATTGATCATCATCAAAGTCATGAATCACTTCAATCAGAAAATACAAAGAAAAAACGAAAAGCACCGATTGTTGCTCCAATAAATTCAGTTCAAGAAAAAGATGAAATTGATCAAATAGAACAAAAACAAAATCTAACAAATAGTATTGCTCGACCAGGTAGATTAGGAAATTTTATTTTCTTTCCGTAAGATCACCCGCTTCAACAATCCATCCTAGGTTAGGTCTATTCAAATGACATGACATTTTCAAGATATGTTGCAGAGGCTATGGTAAAATGCTCAGCCCTATATCATGATATTTTTGCGAGATATTCAACAAACAAAGCTCAAAAATAGTTCATTTGACAACCGAAAATTCTCTGTAAGCCTTCAGTCTATAAACTTAATTCTTTTTTTTTGTTTGAAAGAACATGTCAGAATGCAGGGCATGACAAAGGTCTTTTTTTTTAATTCTTATTTTATAATCTTGAAACAACCACCTAGGGCTTGCGTGAAGCCCAGCTAGTTTCATCATACTGTTATAAGTACACCATATTAGATGAGACTGTTTATCTTTCAGATCTACTTTAGTGAAGACTAATAAAGTATGTTGATAATATCTACTAGTTACGCTCAACTATTATTTATATGAGTAGACAGTCCCGAAGTACATATGAACGCTTGTTGACTACCTGGGGTTCGTACGGACTCCCTAGTGAGATTCATTGTTGTATTATGTATTTGTAATATTTAATTGAATCATGTCCTTTTAGGTATGTGTTGAGGACATTTAGTACAGTACATCGATAACGTCAGCTAATCATACGAAAAGAGAGCATGATAAGACCATGCAAAAAGACTACATAAATATAGTTCGAATTATCTGCTTTTCTGTTTTTTTTTTTTTTAATCAAGTCTTCTCTCTAAAGTCGTCATATGTCCATAATAAACTAGTAACAACTTCGTCTATAATAATTATTTTATTTATTGGAATCTAGACAAATCTCAGATGGACAAAAAGTAGTAGTCCTTAAGTTGGTCATGTTTGGGTTAAGCGGAGAAAAGTTTAATGTCTTGAGAAACTCTCAAAAAAAAATGCCACTCT